AGATTCTTAACAGGTGTCAGAATTAGATTTTAGTGGGTCAGTTGATCAGCCTCTCACTTGCTGGCACTTAAACCAATCTTGGGATTAGTCCTTAGATGAGTAAATGAGAGCATATATGTGACAGACCACTAGCAGTTGTATCTGTGGCAGAAGAGAAGCAGCACAGGGCTCTGTCTCTGATCTGTTTTGTGTTACAGCAGGAGCTGTCTCCACTTCTGACTTCTGAAATGTATTACTTGCTTGTTTGAGCAATTTGCCTTCTCTTGCCAGGCAGTTCAAGGCATTGTCCCGCACAGGAGACACAATGACCTCCTTAAGATGAAGTGTTTCCTCTTGCAGTCTGCTCAGATGGAAGAAGATGGTTATTGGAGGCATTGCTGCCTCCTTGAATCCCAGAAATCCCTAATCCCAGGTTGTTCTTTAGATAGTCACAACTGCAGCAGTCTGCTGAAAGAATTTGCTTACTGCATTTGCAGCTTGTGCCAGCCACTGCCCCACAACTATCAGAAAGAAAATAAGGTAAATAAAGGCTGTGCTGTAGGGTTTTCCTTGGGAACTTTTCTATCTGGCTGTTCTGAAGCCACTGGAAAAGTGCACTAAGGGATTTAGTTTTCTAGAAATGCTTGTAAGCCTATCTTGCATATTTTCCAAGTTTCTATAACTGCACTAAACCCTATAAATATTTACATGTCCTAAAGAATAAACTTAATAGCACCTTAAGCTGAAATAGTTTGGTTTTGGCAGCTAATTCTGGCTTATTTAATATGAGGGTAATATTGGCATCTAATAAAGAAGGAAGTTGTAAAAGTTGTAGGAGGATTAAGATGCTAGGAATTGTAATTGGGGAATGGACATTTTTTAAAATTTAGTCATTTGAAATACCTTTCTTAATTTCTGTAATCTAATATATACTAAGATTGCACATGACTGATCTGTGCTGTTTGTAAGAGGCAGGGCTTTGCTAGAAGAAGAAAAAGAAGAAAAAAAACCCTTGGCTTCTGAAAGTCTTCCAATAAGAGGAAATGCCTGAATTGCAAAATGGGAGCACAGTTGAACCTGTAAATGCAGCATTCTGACTTACACTTGTATTTTCTCATGGCTTGGGTGCAGCACTTGGCGTTCTGTCCTCTCCCTTAGGATGTCAGACTGTAGTCAGAGGTTTACATTGGGCCAAGCAGAATTTTTTAGGGGGCACACCAAGACTGGTGTATTCAGGGGCAACAGCAAAGGGACATTTCTGGAGTCCCCTTTAAAGGAAAGCTGTGGTTGTGTGGATCAGGAGCAGGCACTGAGTCACTGGGATGTGTTTGCATTTGTGTGGCTCTTGAAGCCAGTCAGGGCTCTGCCCTCACAAGGGTTTGAGCTCCTGGAGGCTCCCGGGTGTTCTGGGAACAATCCTAAGGCAAATGCCACTCTTCCTTTTGACATTTTACCAGTCTGGGGAATGCAGTGGGTGTCAGTGGGGAATAATCCAACTGGCACAGGACAGGATTCTGTCTGCTTGTGTAAGTAATGAGGCACTTCTGTGTTGTGAAATGCAGGGAATTATAACATCAGTAAATATTTCTGTAGTATTTCTCATAAACAGTGGGGGTTTTGAGCTCTATTTAAATAGACTTAATGAATTGGAGGCTTTGGCTCATCCCACAGAAATCAAAGCCTTTGTAGGAATGTGCCTCCTATTGTCAATACAAGCATATTCAGCTCTCATTTTAATATGGTGATACTGAATTTTAGAACTGCAAGCGTGGTGCATGTAGGCAAATTCACCTCATAGTTTTGGGGCAAGATTTGTGTTTTCTGGTTCGTATTTCTGACAGTCTGCCTGTTATCACTGTGTTTTGTGTTCACTGCTGCCTTGGATTGTATGGACTGGCACTTGATGGGCTGTCAGGAATTTCCCCTGTTCTGAAGTGGCTATAGTGGAGTAGATACTTGGTAGAACAGGTAAAGAGAAATGTGAACTTCTTGCTGTGGCTCAGAGGGGCCAAGGAGGCTTGTAATGCCCAAGGAATATCAACCCTGCAGTAGTGGGTTGGGTTAGACAAACAAAAACTTCCTGATGCTTCCCCCTGCTATAAAGAGTAATTTTAGCCTGTTTTGATTAAAGGACAGAGGATGACCAGATAGTATCCATGCACAGAGTCACATTGCCATCACTCCATGAGCTGTAGCTGTGCTGGTTTGTATTGTGCAGCACACCAACCCTATACCTGAAATACTACTAAAAATATATTTCTTTCTCTATTTTTTTTAAAAGGCCTAGAAAAAGTACTCAGTTTGCCTGGTTTGGATGTATTACTCAATCTTTAGCTTAAAGTTCATCAGCAAAGTTTAGAAATGTACTTTTTAGCTGACAGCTTATATAACAATTTTAGTAATTTTTCTAGGACATGGGGCTTTTAGGAATGTCAAGTATTGCAAGACGTGGGAATAAACTTCCAGAACTGGCAGTGCTGCATAGAGCACATGTCACTGATTTGGATCCTTATTGCAGCTTGTAGTAGTTGGTGCCTGAAAAAGGCATTGCCAAACCTCACATGACCACCTGAGCATCAGCCTTGGATCTCAGTTGTTGCTGAGGTTTGATGAAGAGTGGGATGATAATAAGGAGCTGAGGGTGGGGGACTGGAAGAACAATTAAAATGATGAATTTCCCAGTAGTAGGCTGTAGTAAAATGTACTGCTTGACAGGCTGGCTGGAATGTGATTTGGGTCTGATCATCTGCCACCAAAAAATCATTTTAGGGATATTTGTTTGAACTTTGAAATCAGTTGTGGCTATTTGGATTCTCAGAGTGGCCACATACCAGTCTTGGGTGGTCTTTGGTGTGTTTGTCTTGGGGGATGTGGTGGAAGGAGCAGATATGGTAACAGGAATCTCCCCCTGTAAGTAGGAGTGGTTAAAATACAAAAAGGGGTGATGTGCCTTTTAGTCTTTAATAAGGTGCTTCTCCTAAATTAATGTGATAATCAAAGAATAAGGATATCATAAGAGAGAACTCGCTCTTCTGTCAAATTTTTTCTTTCCTCTGACTGTTGGGTTTGCCAGAGCTGTGGTATAACTTGTTTTAAGAGGGCAGGTCATGAGAAATTTGATTTGTTATCTGGATGCACATACAAATCTACACACACACTAAAAACCATTAGTTTGGAGTATTTGGTTGGAATGATCATTGCAACAGCCATGAGGAATTGCCTTATCAGTGGCAGAAGTGTTGCTTGCATGGAAATAAAAGATCTACACTTGGCACTTCTGGCTCCTACAGAGCAAGAACTAAAATTGTACAGACAAAACTCACCAGGGGAGAATACATGGGCAGGCACGGAATGAGAGAGTAGTGCTGGAGAGGAACAGGAATGGCTTCCTTACAGGAGACAGACACATGCAGCACAAAACTACAGAATACTGTCTGGATGGTTTTCCTTCTGCCCTGGCTTGTTAGCACTTTGGAGTGAGTGGGTAGATACTGTATGACTAAAATCTGCAGTTGAATTGTTATTTTGGAACTTTTCTGCATCAAACCAGTGGTGAATAATCAAACTTATCTGTGTTAATAATCTTGTTACCTGTGGAAGCTTACACAGCACAGCTGATAACTTTGTAGAGAAATGTCTTGCACTGATAATCCATTTTCCCCGTGTTTCTTCTGAAAGCTTTATAATCTCAGCATTCAAAATGATACTTTTTGGTTGAGCTAAGAATGCTTTTTTAAATCCTGGATTAACCAGGAGGCCAGTGGTTAGTGTGCTTCTCTGCTAGCAGCCATTTCAATTTGTTGGAGTTTTTTAATTTTGGTAGGGGATTTCTACTCCTTTGGGATGAGGGGGTGGGAAGTGTTGTGGTTTTTTCCTTTTTTTATTTAATTTCAAGTCCTGAGTGGGAATGCTTGTCCTGATTGGGTTTGAGGACCTTTCCTGTTCATCTGCTTTTGTGTCTTGGTGAGCAAATGAAGTGAAGGATGGAGTTGGGTCTCAGTCTCCAGCCTCCACTCAGCTGCTGACTCTCAGGAGCTGGGTAGGAGCTTTAGCTCAGAAAATAGGGACAGAGTTTTCTCATTTGTCATCTGTGCTCTTCTCTGCTTGAGCTGCTGCAGCAAGGGCTGCTTCTCAGGAGTGAGATTCTATTTACTGCTCCAGTAAAGATGGCTTTAGGGACACTCTTCTGTTTCCTCAGTTCAGCACTGCACTGTTCTCTCGTGGACCATGTACCTAAAATAGAATATATTTGAAGGAATTTCTAAATTTAGGAAGTCTTATATTGGAACAGATCCTGTTAGCAGCTCCACATCTTACTGATGGTGTATTCTGATAATTGCAGCTAAGGAATGCATTCAGCATGATTGTCTTGATAGGAAGCTTGGTTCATAAATCAAAGATTGCCAGGGACTGCAGAAGATATTGGGGTCATTCACTTTTCTTCTCATCTTGCTGTAGGAGGTACACACAGTGTGTTTAATTTCTCTTTAATTCAGTTTTAATAGACTATCCTGAGTGAAACTCTCAGGCTCCATTAGTAGCAGAGATGGTGAGCTGAAGAGAAAAAATTATGCTTTGTACCATTTGTACTGTTTGGAAAAAATAAAACTTTTAGTCCCAAAACCTTTCAATAGATCCTATTTATATGATCTGGTAATTGGTGACAAAATAATCAAACTAACCTCTTTACTGTGAAGAAATTACTTTCTCTCTGGTCAAATGAAATGCTCGTGTGTATGTTACTGCTGGTGTTTCATCATGGGTCCACTTCTGAGTTGGCTTTTGATCTCTTACATTTTCCAGATAGTGTGGGTAATAGAAATGGTCTGAGAGATGAGGTAAGTGTAAACATGTTGTACCCTTCTGCCTAAAATAATAAAAAATTGGCAAGTTTCTTGCTATGCAGCTGATCATCGTCTGTAACAGAACAGCTACAGGTGAGCTGTGAAATGAGCTGGCTTGTTCCAGAATGGCTCCCTGGCTGTCTGAAATGAGCTCTGTGTTGTTTTGTCTGCCCTCAGGAGTTGTGGAAGGTGATTTAGCTGCTGTGGAAGCCTACAAGTCGTCCGGAGGGGACATTGCCCGGCAGCTGACGGCGGACGAGGTGCGGCTGCTGAACCGCCCGTCCGCCTTCGACGTGGGCTACACCCTGGTGCACCTGGCCATCCGCTTCCAGAGGCAGGACATGCTGGCCATCCTCCTCACTGAGGTGAGCTCCCCTGGCCCTTGCAGGCATGGAGCAGCACTGCAGGTGACTGCACCCCTGTGTGCAGCCAGCAGCACGCAGCTCTGGTTTGTGCTGCTGCCGGAATTTACGTGAATCGCTGCCCTGTGCCTTGGATTTCTCCTCAAGGAGTGAGTTTGCTTTAAGAGACTCCCTTGTGATGGTCCTGAGGATGTTCAGTTTTCTCATTAATGAACTGTCTTGGCACACGTTGTGACTTTACTGGCAGTGGAAGTGAGCTATTGTGAGGCTTCCTGTGCTCTGGGTGAGGGAGAGGAAATGCTCTCAAAGGAAAGCACTGACATCAATGACAGCACAGTTTATTCTGAGTTTGTTAATCAGTAAGTCTACCTGGGCTGGCTTTCCTGGCTTTTGTGGGAGCTTCTCTTCAGAGAGAGGCAAATTTCTTGCTTTGCAAAATTCCTGCATTTTTTTTCTATTCCTTGCCCAGTTTACAGACTGACTGGTTCCTCTGTTTTGCTCTTTCACGTTCCATTGTGTCACCTCACTTCTGGTGATCTCTGCTGTTCCCCATCTTTGCCCTGTAAATAATTGTTACCTTTTTTGTCTGTTTTCTTCAAGTGACTTTTGGTTCCTCACCTGATCAGGGCCAGATTTTTATTCTGCCTCCTTCCCTGATGCTTAGTGCAATTTTGAAAGCTGCTGTTTGCCTACAAAGCACATAAAGATGATGGAATGCTCAGTGTTGAATAATTAAAAAGAGTAGATGAAGCAAGACAAATGTAGCTAAAGCCTTGAGTATATATTTATACACGACTAATATCAGTAGATTTGTGCTGCTTACATAACTCTGTGTGGATGGAGTTACATGTTTTAAAACAAGTTAATTTACTGAAATACTGTCTTAGGGATTTTTGTGTTTGCTTTTGTTCCAGTGCCTAGGAATACTGACTCATCTTGTCATTTATAGAAATGCTTAGTTGTGTTTCAGCCCCAGTGATAATTTCCTTTTCTAGGATATGAATGAGTGAAAATGTGGGTCTTAAAGGTGTTTTTTTTATATGCATCTGGTGTCATTCCTGTGCCATTTGTCCTTCATCACTGAATGGGTTTCTTCTGTCAGCGATGACTAGAACTGGAGAAGTTTAACTATCTTAGCTTCACAGTTTTTGTGAGGATTGTAGGAAACTGTCCTGTGCAGTGGAAATAAAGTTTTGATAAATCTAGACTTGACTCATGCATGAGATCTGAGATTGCTGTTACTATGAGCTCTTATCTATTTTTTCCTCTTTTTCATCTGGGAGTGGTCACCTGTTAATTCACTTCTTCAATTTAAAGATGTTTTTAACCAGATCTATGTTATCAGCTCCATGACAAGTGAGACATTTCCTTAAGAGTCACTACACTTCAGCTCTCTCAGGGTGCCAGTGTTTACAGCTCTCTTGCATTCCTTGCTAACCAAATACTCTCTGCTGGTGGTCATCCCTCCCAAATCTTTATACTGCAAGGGATAATCCTGAGTGCAGTAACTGTGTTGTTTTACAGGTGTCCCAACATGCAGCCAAGTGCATTCCTGCCATGGTGTGTCCAGAGGTCACGGAGCAAATCCGCCGGGAAATTGCTGCATCTCTTCATCAGCGCAAGGGAGACTTTGCTTGCTACTTTCTGACTGACCTTGTGACCTTTACGCTGCCTGCAGGTAGCTACAAAACCCTTCTTCCTGCTGGAAGATTTCATTGCTTGGCCACTAGTTGAAAATTATGTATTTGACTTTCTGGTGGTGATGTGAGTGTAGGTTTTATTCATTAATTTAATAAGAGTTTTATTTATTAAGACCTATTTTATTAGGTCAGATTTAGTAGTTGAATTTGATTACTCAGTATTTGCACACTTCAGTCCATACATTGTTCCTGTGAACTGAGCATCTGTTGTCCTACTTAGACATGAAGAAGTGGAAGAAAAGTGGTGTGTTCTGAGGAAAGGCTGTGTTTAAAGTGAATATTGGAGCCCAGACATTTCTGGTCCATGATGTGACTTTACACATGGCTATTTTAGCTTTCAGTCCTTGCTGTTGAGGCCCAGAGCTGTTCTTTTTCCCTAGTTGTAGCAATAGCACTTTTTGAATACTTTTGAGGTGCTCTGAGATCAAAAGAATGTTTACCTATTAACAAGGAGCTATTAGAAGACTTTTAATCTTCAAAAGCTGTTTCCTTTAATAGAAGTGCTGCCACTAGTCAGAAAACATGCAACTGCAAACTGTGCCAATCAGCAGATCTGTTTGTCTTTTTTATAATAAAAAACATTGCAAGAATTCTATTTGGAACCCCTTTGGTTGAGTGTTACCTCATCTCCTCTACAAAATTCTGGATAATATTGACCACTTGTGCACCTGACTGAGGTGCTGTATCCAGTTGTACTCTGGGTTGTGTGTGACAGGCATGTGGGGTGGGTGTAGGGGGTGTCTGGGAGAGTAAAGTTTCATTGCTTTTTAGGGGAGAGAGGGGAAAGGGGCAACAAGGATTTAAAAACATGTGAGAAATGTTCTCTCCAGAGCTCAAGAATTTGTTTAGTATTTTCAAGAGAGACATCTTAAAGCACTGTGTAGCTTTTTGACTCATGTAATGGCCATTTAGTAATGAAAAAATGAAACTGTTCAAAAGCTTTTGTGCATCAAGACTTTCCACTTTCCTCACACTTTGCCAACTGCACATATTTTGAAGTTTGGCTCTGGAGAGCTTTTCCAAGGATAGAAGTATAAATCATACAATCCTGCTCAGATATTACCTGAGCAGTGCAGTTTAGGAACCAGTTTTCACTTGACCTTTCAAATAAACAGATTGGATCCTCCTGAAAAGCCAGTGCTTGGATGTTAGAGAGCAAAGCTTTTACACTGATTGCTGGTCACTGCATGCAGTTTTAGCTTAAAAAGCCCCAATCAATCATACAAAAAAAAAAAAAAAAGACCACCCCACATCACCCTGCTGCACCAGGCATTAATGTGCTTCAGTAGCAACTCATGTGCCTAAATGTGGATTTAAAGCCCTGGGGTATTGGACATCTGAGCAGGACTGGCAGCTACCACACTGCAATTAAGAGAGATCTTTGTGTCCTTGAAAAACCACTTAGGCCCCAGTCCTTATCCCCTAAAGTGCCTGAAGGGGTGCTGGATGTTTCTGTTCCTATTTTATTAAATGCCTTAACTTTCACATGTTTAAGTTTCATGATTGTGCTGAAAGCAGCAAAGTTTCTCTGGTTGCTGCTCTGCCTGGCAGCCCTTTACTGCTTATCCTCTGTTGGAATGCAGGCCAGGAGCAAATATTTACTGTGTGGCACATGCTGAGTTTTAGAATGTGTGGCAAGTGTTTGTTGTTTTAAATGATAAAGCAGTCACAAAAGAGTTCTGCCCATTATACAGTTTCCACCTTTTTTTTTTCACCTTTTTTTACAAGGTAGTTGCAAATTCTGTCTGTGATGCTCTTGGAGCAGTTGTCAGTACTGGCATTTTCCATGGCATAGCTCAATAGTTTTCCCATTTCTTGTTTTTTTAACTTGATGCAAACCATTGGGGTTCTCAGAACTATTTCGTTGAAGCCTGAATGAGATCACAAAGGAAGGGCATGTTCTGGAGAAGAACACATCCCTTGGGAAACTGTACCTGTCCATTGGGATAGACTGCAGAGGGGAAGCCATTCCAGACAGGTGGAAAAGCATTGCTTAGGATTAAAGTTGTGCTAAAATACAAGAAGGTTGAAAGTAAAAATACTCTTTTTAAAATTTCTCACCTCAAAGTGGTTCTCCACTTTCTCCTTCAGAGAAATCCAGTCTTACCCTGTGCATGCTGTGATGATCCTTTCTGCATCAGAGGTGTGACAGTGAGGCTGAGATGCAAACCTGCCTCAGCAGCTCTGCAAAGCCTTGGGTCACACATGACAGCAGCTTTCCAGAGGAGGTGTTAGGGCTGATAGGGCAAAGGCTGTTCTGGGAATTCTCCTGAGCAGCATCTGGTGATGTCTCTTTTACAGTAACATTTAGTAACTCTTGCATTTGCTTTCTATTTTTTCAGATATTGAAGATTTACCACCCACAGTCCAGGAAAAATTATTTGATGAAGTACTTGACAGAGATGTTCAGAAAGGTAAATGCACTGAAAACAGCTGGGATCACTCCTGGCTTTTCATTAGGGAATGTGTCTCTTACTAAAAATAAACTACATATGTCTGTATATACGTGGGTCTGTCCATGAACATGTTTTAAATAGAGATTGGATGCTTTCAACTTGATCTTCACCCTGGAATTCATTAAGTCACAGCTGGAAGGGACCTTGAAGATGTTCTAGACCAGGTTGCTCCAAACCAGCAAATTCCAGAATGGGGCAGCCACAGCTTCTCTGGGCAGCCTGTGCCAGGGCTCACCACTCTCACAGGGAGCAATTTCTTCCCAACATCCCATGTAACCCTGCTCTGTGGTAGTGGGATGCCATCCCCCTTGTCCTGTCACTGCATGCCCATGTAAAATTATTTTAATTTTAACATTTCCCATCTATTTATGAGGAGAGGGAAAATGGAGTCTGTAGAAATCATGTTTGTAGAGCTTTAAAAAAATCTTTAAAAGTCAGTTTTGAGTCACAAGCTTTTTAAGGAAAACTGAAAAAAGTCTTCATTTCAGTAACAATTCTCAAACAAGTGAGGTGGGAGCTATGGTTTGGTTTATTTTATTGACAGTAGAAGAAATTTTCTCAGCCAGGTAGTTGATCTGCTATTGAGATGCCTTGTGCAGGCTGCCCTAGAACAGAGGCTGGGCATTGTAGTACGAAGGAGAGCAGAGTTTTATTCATGCAAAGGGGTAGATCATTGAGACTATGCCATTATTGTGCTGAATTCCCCGAGATAAATAAGAGCTTGTTCAAGAGCTGGCTGTGCCGTTGCAGAGCTGGAAGAGGAGTCTCCCATCATTAACTGGTCCCTGGAGCTGGGGACGCGCCTGGACAGCAGGCTGTACGCACTTTGGAACCGCACTGCCGGGGACTGCCTGCTCGACTCCGTGCTCCAGGCCACCTGGGGCATCTACGACAAGGACTCCGTGCTGCGCAAGGCCCTGCACGACAGTTTACACGACTGCTCCCACTGGTGAGTCAGGGCAGCTCCTGCGTGTGCTGGAGCAGCACACCCCACAGCCAGCCCTCCCCAGTTCCCTGTTGTCTTGGTTTGAAAAGCTGAGGAAGGGAGGAGCCTCCCCTGAAATGGAAAATGCAAACCCCCTCCCTCCAAATTGTTGTAGTTTTGAAATTAAGGGGCTCTCGGGCAAAGATATGGGAGCAGGAATAACAGTTCTTTAGTAGGTAAGTTAAAAATACAAATGTCATAGTACAAAAAAACCCAACCCACTGACAGAGTCAGATCATGCCCTGTGACCCCCTGTGGGTCAGGGTGGTGGCACAGTCCCATCCCATGGTGGCTCAGCCCTCCTGCAGTGCCAGCTGTGCTTCTGCTGGAGCAGGGATCCTGCACAAGGCTGGAGTTTTCCTCTGCAGCTCCAGGGCTGCTGGAGATGGGCCTGCTCTCCCTCTGGGAATGCAGGGCAGGAGAAAGCTGCTCCTCTGGGAATGCAGTGGGCAAAGGCTGCTGTGCTGTTCCAGGCTCAGATTGTATCCAGGTAGGAATGCTTGGCTCCTGCCCTGGGCGGAGCATCTCCCCATGGGATGATGGAATTTGATCAGCCCTGCAGGGACACTCCCTGGCCCATTAACAAGAAGATACCTACTGTGGAAGAGATAAAGAAAACTGCCCCACTTGGTTTTGGCAGGTGGCTCAATCTGACCAGCAGATAAGTGCCCCACCTCTAACAGATGTCAGTAGAATACCCCACCCCAGCCCCATCTTGCCCTGCAGCCTAAGACTCCTGTGGATTGTGCTCCTCAAAGCTGTCCAGTCCCTGTGGTCCCAGCTGGGATCTTCATCTCATGTTTTAAATAGGAGCACTGGAAACTTGGACACTGTGAACTCAGGGATGGTGTGTGATGCTCAGCAAATGGCATTTCAAGCACTAAAATGCTTTATACTTGTCAGGCATGTACTAACCACAGTTACTGCAGCTGGAATTTGTGTCCTTGCAATGTAAATCATGCACATGCCATGCCTTGCTGCTTGGTGAGAGCTGTGCAGATGATTGTTACTAGAAGATAGCCTTTTATTCTTCATAAACTTTTCAGTATTTTCATTCCATCTGCTTAGTTACAGCTTTACTCAGGATTGCTCTTTTTATCCCTGTTCTCTCTGCTAAAATGGCAGTAAAGCAGAGAGTGTTGACATTTAACTGGTTCTGTCATTTGGCCATAAAATTGATTTGTCGTTCTGTAAAACAACTTCTCTTGCTTTGCACTGACCTGCTTTAGTAGGACACTGTGGTTTCCTTCTGCTAGAGGGACAGACAATCTTAGTTGTTCCCCCAGTGGTGTCCAGCAGCTCTCCAGGGTGTCCTGGACTAAGGGATGAGCTGATAAAGACTGATAATCCCAGGCACAGATTATCATTTCTTTGATGTTCTTGTAGTCAAGGACAGGAGAAACCCTGTCAGCACATACTGCAGAAAGAGCCTGTCCCTGTCCTCTTGCTGTACAGAAGGTCAACAACAAAGGTTAATTTAGGGATACCTGTAAGTAAATTTTGTGCTGTTGGGGGAGAACTCCCCAAATCGGCATCCAGAGCTGGATTCCAGAAAGTTGTGCTTCAGAAGCAGTTCTCCCAAGAACCAGTGTCTGAGAGGATCTGTCACTGCTTTGGAGCTGTTCAGCATGGAGTGTGCATCTCAGCCATGCAGGAATGTCCCTGGCAGCCCCCATGAGGCCAGAACAGAAATTTAGGATAGATCAGGTTTTGTTCTTTATGGTAACAAAACTAAACATGGTATCCAAAAACATGCTGCAAAGGACTGAGCTTTGGACCAAATCTCCCAAAATGTTGGTGTTAATTGTGGTTGACTTACTGCTGTGTCTTAACATAAGATACAGCCACTTAGAGGCTATTCAGTCTTGTCAGGGTTTCTAGTTTAGATCTAGACAGAATTTTTATTTTACTCGGCATTTCTTTAATCTTTATCCTTATTAGAAGCATAATTTTTACCTGCTTGTTGTGTTCCTTCAAGGGAACAAGTCTTCAGACTAGAAAGGACAGGTATTCAAGGAACAAGTAATGTTCTTTTTAGGAACAAGTCTTTAGAATAAGTCTTTTAGCCAGATTTTGTTGTAAATTGATCATTCTGTGCATCCTGGAGGTGCTGTATAGATGCCATTTGAGAAGATACATTTAATTTTGTGGGCTAGGACATGTGGCTGATAGGAAGTGATGTCGTCACTGGAACAGGCTCTTAAATGCAATCCCTGCTTAAACTTTTATCTAGTGGAATTATTCTTCAAAGCCTCCACAAAGACACTTAAAAATGGGTATTTTTGTAGTCAGACAGAAAACACTCATGTACCTCATTTGACCTGGTTTTATGTTTGTTTAGATGCTGAACAAAGAAAAATCTATTTACCAGAGACAGTCTTGTGTCTGGTACTCAGAAAAAGCTCCATAGTGAAGTTCCCAGAGGCTCTGGCCTGTGGAGTCTTTTCCACTCACCTTTCAATAACTCCACTTTTTTAGTTTACACAAAAGTGTGTTTTGAAGTGCCCCTTTTTGTATTCCACCATTAGCTTTTGCTAGAGAATAGGCACATGCCCTAAGTTGACTTCCAGAATTTTATTTTTTAATGGATGCACTCAGTTCTCTTGTGTTACCCTGAAAAGTTTGCTTTAAATGAGATCAAAATCTTGTCTATGGCTGACTAACACAGGGAAAAAACTTCTTTAGAACACTTTCACAATCCAGCTTTTAGGGAGTAGTTTGGTGTTTTCCTTTTTTTCTTTTTTCCTTTGAATGTTTTGAGCTTTCTCTCTCATTCTGGTGGTGTGGGAGTTCTTGTTGTTGTTTTGCTTTGTTTTTTCTTCTCTTTCCCCTAAAATCTGATTAAATTTCTTCCAGGAGACGTGGGAATTAATTAATTTAACACAAAGTACTGTTAGGAATTTATGAGAGAAAACAGGCAAAATATTTATCAGGTTCAAAGGTGGAAGTGTTGGTGTGTTTGGATAAAAAGTGGAATATAGATACAGAAGATCCCCTGTAGATATTACTGTCAATTAGCCCAGACCTATCCAAATATCTTAATAATAGGAATTTCAACCATGCAAAGGTTTTCCTGGACTGGGGAAACCCAGCCTGGCTCCTACACATCAAGATTTTAGGGTGATTCCACCTTCAGTGAAAGCATAGGAAAGATCTTATCCACACACACTCACTGCCTGCTGGTATTCTCAGGTTTTAATTAAATGAGTTCATTTCAGTGACATTTTTAATAAGCTGAAACTTCAGAATGGTTTCTTTGTCTTGCCAGTGAAGACCATTGTTTAAAGGTTGGCTCAGCACTGTTCCCTAAATCCTGGTTCCTAATATGAAGTTGTGGCTTTTCCATAGTGTGGTGATTGGACAGAGTTAAAAACTTTGAAAAGCAAACACCTTCCTTTTAATGTGTGATTTTTCTTGGTAAATGGTTAAATACAATATCATGACTAAACTAAATCCCATATTTGATTCTTATCCACGTTGCTTTACAACTCCATATAATGTGGGTTTACCACCCCCTTGCTCTAAAATCTGGTATAAAACAGATTCTGCCTCCTAACCACGGGCTGTTGGAAATTGGTATGCAAGCACTTTGAAGTTAATTGACTCATGATGTGCTTAAAAATAGAAAATACCTATTTTTTTGTGTGAGAAGAATGAGCAACTCCTCCTGTATGAAATGGAATGTCTTACTTGTATATCAACACTTAAATAAGCCTAAATAAGACTTAAAAAAACCCCAAACTCTATTGCAAGAAGTATCAAACTAGGCAGGAGCCTGGTAGGAACTTGGATCATGTTTGCTGTAGGCATTGCTATTTTTTTTAAAGTGGTTCTTAAATGAAGATTGACAGATGGAGTCTCCTGAAGATAAAAAACAAAACAAAATCCAGTTTTCCTGCTACTTGCTTTCATTCTTCCCCCTTCTTGGGATGAAGGACTACAAGGGTTAAATACTGCTGTCAGGATTTTGGTGGTTGAGTAAATATTTTTGCCTTCACCACTTTTTCCCTCTCTCTCTCACATTTTAGGTTCTACACACGCTGGAAAGAGTGGGAATCGTGGTATTCCCAAAGCTTCGGTTTACATTTCTCCTTGCGAGAGGAACAGTGGCAGGAAGATTGGGCATTCATTCTCTCTCTTGCAAGCCAGGTAAGAAAACTCCTTTGTCAGAGCCCTTTTGGAAAAGATATTTTAATATCTGTAAAGAAGTTTTGGAACTAGAGAGTTTTTTTGGGAATAAGAATATTTCTCTGTGAAGGAAGAGCATTCCTGTTAAGCCAATGATCTTAAAATCTTACTGCATAAGCTCTTCTGCTGATATGGAAAGGTTCATTTGAAATTATAATTTTTGAGCTTCTATTAAGCAGTGCAGCACAAAAAGGAATTGTGGTATTAGAGTGAAGTCTGTAGAACAAACTCATAGACAATCATATGTTTAATATCCAGCTCCTGCAGCACTTTTAGCTCCCAAACACACCTCCAAATCTGTCAGCTTACACTGCTCAAACTCCTGCAAGCTGAGATTTTATAACTCCCCTCCAAAATGAGATTTACATTCCTATAAGCTTCCAGCTATGGGAGTATTTTTAGCTCCTCTTTTAAACATGATTTTGGTACTATTTTTTTGAGATTTGTTTTGTATGTGCCCTTTTCCTATCATCAAAAGGTATTTGCCTTAAAGTGCCCTCAGATGAAGGAATTATTTTTAGACCTAACATTATGTAGAGTTTCACTTCTAAGTGGGGAATGAAATCCATTACACTGAACCTGGGCAATAGGACAGAATTATTACTGACAGCTGACAAGCTGAAATGTTTTTCCTTATTTCCAATAATTTTCCAGTCTTTTGTTTTTCCTGTCAGAGCTTTATCACTCTTAAAAGCATTTGAAGACTGTTTTTCAAATTTCAGAGTAGAGGATGGTAAGTTCTGTTTCAAGTGATGTCTTTCTTTGTGTTTGGTTCAGCCTGGAGCGAGTTTGGAGCAGACACACATTTTTGTACTTGCACATATTCTTAGAAGACCAATTATAGTTTATGGAGTAAAATATTACAAGAGTTTTCGGGGAGAAACATTAGGATATACCCGCTTCCAAGGTAAGCCTTTCATTTTCTAAATTCACTTTTCAACAGGGTTGGGCTGTAAATCACTAGTGACATGAAGTGACTGTCTTGAAAAGGATGGAATGCTATTGTAGATAAATTTTCATTTGCTATTAAAAAGAACAAAATAATCCTCTCCAAACTTGAAGTTTTTCATTTTATAGTGGGCATGGTGTCTGTAAGAGTGAATTCCATGATACTTTAAATGGGAATTTAAAAAATTTATCTGTGTTTCAGTGATTCACACTTTACAGCAAGTGTGAATACTGACTTACTTCTCATCAGTACTATAATTTTGCATGGCTTGATCAGGTTCTTTATGACTTTTTTTTTCCTCCTGGTCTTCAGGACAGCCTGACTGTCCTTAAGATAAATGTGAAGATGACTCAGTCCAGTTTTGCTTAGACTTAACATCTGTGGATTTCTAAAGATGCATTTTCTGCTTTGCAAGCCAAATCTGTGTTTGGGCAACTTCCCCCTCTGTGACATGCTAATACTTCATTATTCAAATAATCAAACATGAGAGGGGATTGGGAGCATCTGCACAAACTGAGCTGTAAACAGAAGCACGGGGAAGGAGCTGTGTGTGTTCCAGGGGGTTGGGACATTTGTTTTGCCCACAGTTCATATTCCTGGCCTCAAGTACATCTGCTTGATGATAACCCACTCTTTATTTATAGCTTAGCTGAGGGCTTCCCAAAACATCTTTGTGATTTGAAAGAAAAAAAATATGGTGCCTTTGGAAGGAGGCAAGGCCATGATCTACAGAAAACCCTAAGCTGTGCAGTTAATGTTAATTTTTAACTATTTAGAGTCTTGGCTTCTAAGTTTGTGGCAGTAACAAAACTTCATGTAGGGAAATGAATTACTTTTTTGAAGAGTCTAAAAGTTTAGTAGTCATTGTAGTTAGATGTTAACTTTTCTTTTGATGATGAAAGGCAGCTGGGAAGGGACACTTACTTGTGTCACTTAAATCTGACACTCCAGCTTTGTGTTGTTTTTAACTCCAAGGTTTAGTGGTTTGCAAATGGTTTTATTTCCTAGATTGGGCATCAAGGCAGACAAGTGTTACATGGCCTAAATGTGCTGAAGTTTTCTTTCTCTGTGAACCAGAAGGAAACTGGGTGCCTGGAACACCCTTTTACTGCACACAGGTTTCCAGGAATTCAGGCAGTCAAATAGTTACATCTTGAGATTTGCCACAAGCCAAATCCATCCGTCCATGGACACAGCCCTGGGAACAGGTGAACTTGGAGTCCTGTGTCCCAGTAGCTGGAATTGCTCCTCTCCCTGGCCAGCCACATTTTTGTGGTTAATGTGTGCTCATCAAATGCCAGTGGCACAGCTGAAACCCAGCTGATGCACTGGGAGTGGGGTGGGCTGCCAGGAGGAGTCTCCTGCTCTGGGCCTGTGTGTGGGCATGGGAGCTTTGGGGAGTGCTGGGGTGTCCCTGCCTCTCTTTAACATCACATCCACCAGAAAAGTCCCTGAAAGTGTCCAGGGCCAGGTTGGAACCTGGGAAGGTGGAAGATTGGGCAGGATGGGCTTTAAGCTCCCTTCCAACCCAAACCACTCTATAGTAAAAATGGGGAAATGAATTTTTTTAATGCTTGTTCAACATCATGGTTCAGTTTGTAGCACCCTCTTAGCCACCCCTGACAGGAATTTTTTTCCCCAGGGATTCCTTGCTCCAGCTTGGTATCCTTGCTGTAGCTGCTGTGAATCCCATAATTGCCAGCCTCCTCTTCCCCAGATTCCAGCTGACTGTTAATTCTTTAAGTACTAAAGCTTCAGTGGTGGAAGATCTGCTTGCTCAAGCCCTAACTAGGACCCTGGCTGACCCTCCTGGTCTGGCCATGTGTATTTAGTGGCACAAATATATAGCTTTTAAAATTGAACAGGAAACAAGATGACTGACTGAAGTGATCAACAGGTCAAGCTGGAGAAACGAAATCCTCTGTGGGTGGCTTCAGGATAGGTGTTAGCCCGTACTCTTTATTTTCTGTGGCTTGTGGTCATGTCAACTGTTGTTGCACGACCTTCTGGCTTTATATCAGAGTGACTTTTATAACTCTTGAGAGCACTAGATATTCTCCCTGGCAGTGCTTGAAATTCTTTTCTTGTGGAGCTCATCACAGTGTTGAGGAGGAATGGGAAATGCAGCACAGCCTTCTGTCTTGGGGAAATGATGAGTGTGGAATTTTCACCAGGATAAAACAATGGTGAAAGAAGATTTCCAAACACTTGCTGAATTTCAGTGTAGAGATGGAGGCAGATGAGTTTCAGTACTGAAAGGTCACAAAGCTGTGCTCCCAGGAATTGAGGGACTGTCTTCCTTCCATTTGACTGGATGTCATCTTCAGTGTAAATTCAGACTTTGATTGGATGTTTGGTTCTTTCCCTTAATGCAAAGGTTTGAAACTTTCTGGTGAATGACTATCCTGTGTTCTTCACCTTTGGTGTTTAACATTGCTTTAGAGTGAGACTTAATAATGGGGACAGAGGAGGGGAGGGCTAAGCAGGTATTGAAAGGATCTGTCTTTAAATCGAGGTGTTGTAAAAACTTCTGCAACTCTTAATTTTAAACAAATGGAAAGACTTTTAGGTAGCTCTTGATTGCTAATTCAGAAACAAGGGGGGAAGAAAAAAGGCACAATTATTTACTGCTAACCCCACTAATTTTTACTGCAGTACAAAAAGATGAGCTCAACACTTAAGCAGAACCTCCAAAGCCACCCCTGCCTCAGATTCCCATTTTAGCGTTGCCCTTCCCTCTCTGGGCTGTCGAGGAGCTGTGTTTGCAGCAGCAGCTGTACTAGGAGGGGTTGCTATGCTACATGTGCACTCGAGTTTATGTGGGGCTATTTTTAACTTGTCACAAGGTGAGCTGTGCTTTTGCTTAAGTTGTCTTGCAGCAGTACACACCAAGAATTATTTATGTTCCTGAAAGAAAGGAGTTCCAGTTTTATTTTGAGACCTCGAGCAAATTGCTGTCTTTATTGCTAAAAATGGTGATGAGAAAAAGTGCAGTTCTTCTCAGAATCTGTGACATCAGGTGTTGGTTGTAGCTGAGTAAAGTAGTATCAGCTTTTTGGCACTTTTTTTTTTAATTGATATGAATAATTGATGTGTGTTAATTTAATCTGTGAGTACTGTATATGAGCAGTCCCATTCTCTGGGATGGGTTACATCAGTGCTGAGTAACATTTTGTGCAGTGAGTTCTTTTAATGGTAAGTTTTGTGAGCAGATGGTGGAATTTTTGCTCTGGTAAAAATAGACATCTGACTGTAACCTTTATTTCTGTCATGCAGAATCTTTTTTTTCTTCAGTTTTAAGAAGAATTATCAAACATAAAAGGCAGCTTTTTAAACCTTGTTTTTTGTTCATCGCTGCACTATAGACCATACATTTTAGTGCTGTGGTAATGTATTGGTTGTGATTGTAGTATTTTGTGTTAAAACTTGTATTGCAAAGATATTTGACTTGTGTTAATTAACAACAATTAGCTCTACTGAAAAGTGTGGCCTGTGCCAGTGCAGACCAAACTATGTATGTTTTAAATGTGATGTGCTTCTCTTTGGCCCAAACCACAAGGTTTGTATCAAAATCCTTCCTTGCTGAGCAGCAGGTCTGAGCCTTTCCCTGTGCTTCCCTTCCCCACAGGTGTGTATTTGCCTTTGTTATGGGAACAGAGTTTTTGTTGGAAAAGTCCCATAGCTCTGGGCTACACGAGGGGCCATTTCTCCGCCCTGGTTGCCATGGAGAATGACGGCTATGGCAATCGAGGCGCTGGTGCTAATCTGAACACTGACGATGATGTTACTGTTACTTTTCTACCCTTGGTGGACAGCGAGAGGAAATTATTGCACATTCACTTCCTTTCTGCTCAAGAGGTAAGAAACATCTGGTGTGTGCTGGTGGCTTTGTCACAGCTGCTTGCTGAAGCTCAGCAATCTCTGTAGCCCCCTGAGTTTTTGGTGTCCAAAGAACTACAGGGAGTGTGCTGTTCTGGTTAATTAATGCTGCTCCCTTCCCCATCATTCCAGGTGATGCTGAAAGGTATTTTCCCACAAACCTGATTTCTATTTACAGCTCTGTAAATAGGATGTAACTTCCTTGCCCATGTAAATCCCAGAAACAGAATCATAGAATCACAGAATGTCCTGAGCTGGAAGGGACCCACAAGGATCATTCAGTCCAACTCCTGGCCCTGCACAGGACCCCCCAACAATCCCACCCTGTGCCTGAGAACACTGAGTGTCAGAATACCTAGAAAAGCACACACAAATAAGGTTCTGTCACTAAGGCAAGACTGAAATCTGCCTTTTGGATTTTTTTTCCCTAAAAGATGAAACACAAGTATTGGCCTACAGTTGCAGCATTTTCCACCTTCTATTCTAATGAAACTCAACTCATTTTTGCTTTAATAACTATGATAAAAATGTGGAACTACTTCACTAAAGGGTGTGCATGGGTGAAGGGAGGACTGGAAAACTGATATAATTGCAGAAAGTGGGCATTCTCTACATAAAAGGAGAAAAATATGAGCTTCAAGTCTAGAAAGGGATGCTGCTTCAGCAAGCCATGATATTTGTTCTATTTTGCAAGAGAAAATGTTGAGAACTTAGAAATATATGTTTCTAAAGCCAGAAAGCTCTGTTAGGACTTCCCTCCTTATATATGGTGTTTAGATAAAGAGATGCTTAAAAATGGATAAATAGTTGCTTAAAAATAGATAAATAGAAAAATAAGTAGATAAATAGTTGCTTAAAAATAACTGAAGGCCATACTGGAAATAGACATGTGAAAAACTGGGGAGAAGAGCTGGAGAGTACTTCCAGAGCCTTTGGTTGAAAATGCAGTGGGCATCAGTTTTCCTTTTCTGGGCGTGATGCCTTGGAGTGGCTACCTAGAACAGAGGCAAGATCAGGAGAATCCCGGGCAGGACTGGGGAGAATCCCGGGCAGGACGGGGGAGAATCCCGGGCAGGATGAGGAGAATCCTAGGCAAGATTGAGAGAATCCTAGGCAGGATGAGTAGAAAGATGAGGAGAGTCCTAGGCAAGATGAGGAGAATGCTAGGCAAGATTGGGAATCCAGTGTGACGTGCATGGAGCAGGGATGGCGCTGGGCGTTTGGGAAGCCTCATTCCCGGTGTTTTCTGTGCCCCAAAGATAGGCAACGAGGAGCAGCAGGAGAAGCTGCTGCGGGAGTGGCTGGACTGCTGCGTGACAGAGGGAGGGGTGCTGGTGGCCATGCAGAAGAGCTCCCGCCGGCGCAACCACCCGCTGGTCACCCAGATGGTGGAGAAGTGGCTCGACCGCTACCGGCAGATCCGGCCCTGCACGTCCCTGTCCGACGGCGAGGAGGACGAGGATGACGACGATGAGTGAGGGGGAATAAAGTGCAAATGAGCAGCGCAGAGTGTGTGCCCCCGAGTGAGCGTTGTGCTGTAGCAGTTGGGTGTGGAGCGACCCAGGTCTTAGGGGATACATGCTGGGAAGGATTCTCCGACAGCACGGGGAGAGGATGGACGCTCATCCTGCTGCCTGGAGAGAGCCAAGTGGGCTGGACTACAGTTTGTATAAAAACACGAAAAAGAAAACAAAAAACAGCTAATTTTATTATCAAGATGGAAAAAAAAAAAGCAAACCAAACCAACCCCATTTTTCTTTCTGACTGTAAATCTGTCTATAAATGTACCGCATGTGGTTGTGTAAGAGGTTGTGTAATAGGAAACGTATACCAGCATCTTAATTATTGCAGAGAAATTTTTCAACTAAGGGCACTTCTGAAAGCACATGTGAGCTGGATGGATATCTCCTCCCTCTGAGATTCTTTTACAGTAGAACCTGGTCTTCTCCATCACCTTTTAGATACTCTGACACATTTCCCTGAAAGGCCTTTTCCTGTGAAATCTCACTAGTGCCCAGGTCAGATTGTGAGAGGTTTTTTTTGTTTGCACAGATATCCACAGCAAGTCATAAGCAAAAATGCGTTCGTTATTTTACTAATATTTTAGTTATTGCTGTGCCCACGTAATAAAGCCTAAACTCTACGGAACAAACTGGAAGAGAAGTTAAATTTACATTGAGTGAAATGATTTGTTTCCTGAAAAAGCTTTTTGGGGGTTTTTTTGCCTTTTATTTTTTCTTCTAATAGTTAATAGATTCCTTTCAGTATACATAAGTATATTTATTCAGAGAAGTGACCTAAAAGGGATTTTATTCCTGTGAGCATACACTAAACAAAATTGTGTGAAATCAGAACTTGAACACAATTGAGAATTTAATCTTGTCAAAACTCAGTCTTGCTGTGTTACAAATTGTATAATTTTTATCATTTATTCTTTGATCACTCAAACTTTGCTGCAAATGAAAAAAACACCTTTTTAAAGGTTACTCCTCGGTCACTAAATCTAGTGAGAATCCACTTGGCAGTTCTAATTAAAAAGAAGAATCTATGCTCAAGTTGTTTAAAAGCACTGTTATATATTTCTCAGTATGTAAACCTGGGAATTTCTTGCATGTTGATTGATGTGGCCATACTTAAACTTATGTAAGTTCCTAAGACTGTAAGTTCAGAGTATATTCTCCAGTAGAAATTTTATTATATTTGATAACTTTAGCCATGTAACCTGTAATGGATAAAGTTTATCTAAAAATCTCACTGAAACACTAAAGGTTAATGCCAGTTTTTGCATATACAGTGCAATTCAGGTTGTCTTGAAAAGCACTTTTGATGGTGTGGTGGTTGAATAAGAAATTTTGCAGTAGATGAAATTGTTTTAATTAGAATTTGGAAAGAAGCCCCATAGCACCTATTTTTATGTAGTTCAGAGCTATGGAAACCCTGAGGAAGTTGCTGCTTTTTCTTCCAAATGCTGCTTAGATGGTGTTGAAACGTGCACAACTCCTACAGAACCTTGGTGACGACACCGAAAGTAAAGAAATAATGAAGTACTGTATTAATTTTGCAATTTTCCCGTCCCAGATCCCACTGAGGTTTATTATGTCTTCACCTTTTTTGGTCATTAGGTTTCCTCTGCTTGGTGCATGCCCAGATTTCCAGGTGAAGGATGAATGCTGCTCTGCCATGTGAGTGACCCAAATTCACCACCCAGCCCCAGATACTCCAGGGGTTCTTCATGAGCACACGGTCCTGGTTCAAGTTCCCTTTCTAAACTGGGGTTGTTTTTTTTTATCCTTACCTTGCAGTGAAATCCTTTTATACCTTGTCTAGCTGAGGATGTAAGGCTTTTCTGTCAGGGGAGCTGAATGCAGGGTAAGCTGGGATGAGGATTTCTGTGCCCTGAGCTGGCGTGCACCGTGTGCTGGAGTGGTTTGTGTCGTGCTGTGACCACAGGGTCCTAACTCAGCCAGCCTGAGGAGCTCTCAGTGGCCAGACCTGGAACTTCAGATCCCAGCCTGCCCTGTGGACAGAAGGAAAAGCCCCATATTCCATGGGCTGCTCTGAGGATGCTGTGGAGTTTTCACCTCCCATCCATGTTCTTTTGGCAGTGCTGTTTGTTGGGGGAAGCAGAGCTTTCCTCGTCCCAAGGGGTGAATTGCCAATGTGAAAGTCTCCCTTGAGCCAAACTGGCCCTGCTCTCCTGCTGTCCACGGGCAGCCTGCATTGTGCCCCTGTCCCCAGCCCTGCCCCGAGGTCAGTTCAGCTGCTCTCTAACGCATGCACCGATGAATTCTCACTGCTCTGACAGGACAGTCCTGGTACTTTGGATCACTTGGCTTCCTCGATCATTATTGTTTTGTTCTGATGTGCTGTACAATGGTCTGTTCAGGTTCAAATCCTTCACAGGCCCTTTGGGAGCTTGTGAAGTGTCTTTTCCAGAATCAGAGTAATCCAAATCTCCTGCACTTGTAGATTAAAGAGCTGCAACCCCCGGCTTCGTGCTCGCACTGCAGTCAGTGTATGTCAGTGGCTCCTCAATCACACACCTGAAAGTTTACAGACACTGAGATTAATCTGCACACACTCCCCTGCAGCTTGTCAGCAAGTTCTGCACTTTCAGCCATGAAAATATATATAAAAAATTTGGTTTCTCAGTGTTATTTTCCTCATATATTGCTCGCAGCAGCACACGCTTTTCTAGCACAGAACTTAGCTTTTCATTGCTACCTCCTTTGCAGCTGGTCAGGATTTTTTTCTGGTTTTATTTATGACTTCCTCAGTGAAAATCCCTGTATTTCTTTTGTTTTTAATATATTAAAATTTAGTAATTCTGGATTCTTCCAAAGTTCTGCTGCATGGCTTATGGCAAATCCCCTGAGTTACATTTCGTCCATTACCCCAGGTTGGTTTGTGTGTGTGGAGACTTTAATTTCTGCTTTCCTTTTCCCCCTTTTTTCAGTAACTTCCCTAATACCTTTTTAAAAGGTTTTATTTAGTGTTTGTCACCATGAAGCTGCTTGTTTTGACAGCTATGTTGACATCTCTGGAGTTCTCCCTGGAGAAAAATATTATTATCCCAGGAGAGCCTTCCTGTCTGCTTTCCCTGAGTGGGACAATAGCAGCATGGCTCTGTGAGCCACAAACCTTCAGCAGCAACTGTTCATTTCCCATTTCTTTCCCCAGTAATTTTCCATTTTGAGAGCTGCAGCTCCTGGTGCTCTGGCATCTCCCAGCTGTGATGATATTCTTCCCCTTCCGCTGCTCCAATCTTTCCATGTTTTGCTGGTGTTCTCCCTGCAGGCACTTGTAACTTTTGGGATGGCGTAACCTCTGCTCCTGTTGAGCTTGTGGCACTTCTGACCTTGGTTTTGGCTGAAAGGGAAGCTGGGTGTTGGATGAAAGCTCCAGCATGTTCTGAGCTTGGAGTCACTGCTGGCACACGGATCCTGCGGCGCAGGGAGGGACTGGATTATCCAGAAACAAAGTACCAGGGCTCGTTTATTTTTAAAACAACTCTAAACCTTAACATGAATTAAGTGTTTTCCTCTTGGTTTTGATGGTCATTTCGGTGTCCCCCAGATACCACCCCTGTATCTGACCTGTTTCATCCCAGTTTCTCACTGAGGTCACGGATAATTCACTGCTGGGCTGTGCTGAGCACTGACAAGGAGCAATCACTCTGTAACAGGTGACCTTGTTTGGATGTTTGAAGCTGGTAACCAAGTTTTCAGTTTAATTTTAAGCAAACAAAATACAGAGTTTTGTAACTTGGACACTTTGGTTTCAGCTTTTTTTAGTCCCCATCTAACTCCATGTGTGTGGCACTTGGACACAGTGGGAAAGAAGGGTGGAAACAAGAACAGACAGGCCTTTTGCCCAGTGAGGCTCAAAGCCAGCAGCCCCTCTTGAGCACTTTTTTGGCTTTATTTTCCAGTGGTTTGATAATGCTTCAGCTTTTGAGAATGCACAGAAAATGTTGTTTGAGTTGTAGCTGCCTTTGTACTTAGTGGAAACCCACAGCGATCTCTTCATCGCAGAATGGTCTGAGTTGGAAGGGACCTTCCCCTCCCACTGGACTGTAAATATGCACCAAGTGTGACCAGAATTATGTTTGTACCTTATGGTTACCTCTCAGTGTCTCCAAGCCCCAGATTGCAGCGAGAGCTCTTGCCTTTCAGAAATTATAGAAATTTTATCACTTTTTATTGAAAACTGCACTGAACGCTAAATGTCCACCTTTACAATAAACAAATACAGTAACGGTAACACACTAAACCAAAACATACTGATAGCCATTGGTTTCTTTTTTGTCTGTTTGGGACAGCTCAAGATTTCTTTTTTTGTTGTTTTTTTTTTTTTTTTTTGTCACAGAAACAGGAATGTACCCATACAAAGGCTCAAAACAGGCCATCTTTAAAAACAAAAGGCGGTGATTCACAAAAGACTATGAATATAACATGTAACTAGTTGATACAAATCTAATAGGATTTGTTAAAATCAGTCACATCTAATAACACATCTTGAAGTGTTCTTGTATAAAATATCACGTGAAGAAAAGAAGACTTTTATCAATGTCTAAAAAAGTGGATTTTGTTCATAGACAGTCTGACAAGTTACCATAAAAAGTGTTTCCTGAGACATAAGGAAATGCAACATTATTCTTGAACCCTTTCCAGCTCAAGACTTTTTCCACTTGATAAAATAGCTGCAGATTTAAAACTGAGAAAATATATCTGAGTACAAATAGTGTGTGAAACTTAATACTTTCTTCATTTTTTTTTCTTTTTTTTTTCTTTTTTCTTTTTTCTTGCATCATTGCAGGGCGTACGTAGGTGGATGCACAGCTACTTTATTCAGTGTATTGGGCAGAGAAGAGACTGGCAGTTTGGTTTTCCTTAGCCTGGGAGGGCAGTAGTCACTGCCAGGAGCCCTTTCTGCCCTTCCCATCCCACAGATCCCAGCTGGAATGGCTGGAACTTAGACCTGGCAGGAGAACTTCAGTTACACGGCACTGGCCACTGCAAAAAGGAGGAGGAGGAGTATTTTCTTTTTTTTTCTTCCACTTCTAAGCCAGAACTGCTGCCCCCTGTTAGGAGAGGTCACCAGATGCAAGAGAAAGGAAAGGGCTGAAGCCACACAATGGTTTCTTGTTAACTCTGTAAAGATGGCTTAATTCAGTGGCCTGGACACAGTGCAGGAGCCCTGTCCTTCCCAAGGAATTGAGGGGGGGAAAGAAATTCATTTTTATTCATGTGATTGATGCACAGATGAAGGAAACTCAACACACAACAAGAGAAGTTGCTCATTAATGTATCACATCCTAGTTTTCAGCACTGCAGGGAGCAGGTGACTTCTCCAGGGCTTCTCCCCAGTCTTGGCTGCTGTCGCTTTGTCGGGAACACTGGAACATCAATGATGCCTCTGTCCAAAATCAACGTTACAAATTTCGTATCAAATTCTTCTCTTTTAGTTCATGTATAACTTCTTTTCCAATGTCTCTTGGTCCTAAGTTTATTGAATGGTTTTTAAATTATCTGCTATTGCTCGTTGGGGTGTTCCCTGTTGTCCCCGTGTTTTGTGGGCTGGTTGGGCGATGGAGCTTGGGAAGGATGTGCCACTGTGGGAAGGTTGTGGGTAACAGGGATGCCTCCGGGAATGATGCCCTCCATAGCTGCTGGGATTCCTCCTGGTGCCACGCTGACCATCCCAGGGGGATACCTGGCAGAGGGGACACAGAGAGACAGGTTTGTCACAGCACAGCTCATCACACACCCGTCAGCCCAGTGCTGCCATGGAGAAAACAGCAGAGAGATCCCACTTCCCTCCTGGAGCCAGGGATGCTTTGCCTTTTTCATTACAAGGGAGAGCTCGGAGTTAAACATCACCTGCTGTGCCTTGGGTAAGTGTCCTCTACTACACCACCAGGACTGCAGCTTGTTCTGTGCCTTCTCACAGCCTCCTGCACCATGGGGAAGCCCTTCTCCTTTGGAAATTTGGGTAAGGAACCATCTGGAATATTCTCTGAAAGCCCAGATGCTGGTGTGCTCACCCCATTATCCCTATGTGAATATCTTGAACACCTACATCTGGTTTGTAAATATTTCCTGGAGCTGCATCTTCCTTGTGGAACAGCACAGCTCAAAAATGGGATCAGATCTAATCTAGCTTTTCCAAGAGCAAGAGGAATTACACACATTCCAAGAAACAACAGTGAGTTTGAAAAAGGAGAATAATAATAATTTATTCAACTGTGATGTGGGGGCAACAAGGACAAAACCATGTGGAGCTCTGT